TGATGGCATGTCACAAGGGTCCGCAAGCCACTCTCCCAGCAGATGAAGTATCGAATCTAGATTGAGTTCAAGGACCAACGCATGCGAGAGGCTGGGCCCGCGACTTGACATTCGCACCCACCCGGGCCCACAAGGAAATGTTCACGAGAGGCTGGGCCATCAAGAAGGTCAACCTGATGACTCTCAACTAACCAAGTTAGCAGTAGAAGAGCTAAGTTCATAATGCTTCTCAGCAAGGGAACTCTTCAGCTCAAATGTCATCGACCTCAATTCAGATGTCTTCTTTCCAACTCGCTGAGTTGAGCAAAAGAGGAGGCAATAACAGATGAGTTCTGAATGGCCTGAATAGCAAAAACTACTTCTTTTTTAAGCAAATGAACAGTCGCTTTCCTTTGTTTCTACAAGGAAAAGGTATCAAGATTGCCAACCTGATGGATATGATCAACTAGCTTGACACAAGCGGACCGGCTTGATAGGAAGTTCGTCTTCAGTAGATCAGACATGCCTTCATCCCCTGCATGACTGGACTTGTCCACCTTCGGATCAGTTGCTGGCGTTGCAAAGGAACCCTTCACCAGGGCAGATGACTCTCTTGCCTTCTTAGCCGTTGTCATCCTAACCTCCAAAGGAGTCAACAACACTGAATAAACTCCTCACTTGACTGCTCGTGACTCAATAGTTGGATGAGCAAACCTCGTAGTTCGAACTGCATCCCTTGATTGATGTAGATGACTCGAACCTCAGAGAGGAATATCAACATCTCTTTGCCTCTTAGCAGGTGAACTAGTTCTCTAGCGGATCACTTCACAGAGCAGATCACGATTTCCAAACTCATCAACTGGAGGCTTGAGTGGAACGTCTCGAATGTTTCCAATACTGCCAACCTTCTTGCTGTCTATGCCAATGAGGTGTTTAACCCTAACAGATGAAGGGGGAGCAACTCTTACTTGTGTCTTCTCAGTAGAAGGGAGCTTTGGCTTCTTCCTCAACGGAGACACATCCTTTGCCAGCGAAGAAGCAGCTTTATTTCTTGAAGAGTTCACGTTAGCCTTCCTTTTTTAAGGGGGTTCGGCAGAACACTCCTCCTGCCTAGCCGGCAGATCATCAGAGTCTGGACCATTATGCTTCCATCTCTCAACATCTTGGGCATGGGGTAGACCACCAACTTCCTCCCGATACTCACTCAAGAGCCAGCGCTACTCGTGAAATCTCGGAGGGATGTTTAGAGCTCGGCTGACCTTAGCCATGTCTAGCCCAAGTTCGTTCCAACCTCTTGCAGATGTCATTCAATGCAAGCAAAAGGTAGAATTTAGTCAGTCACAATTCAATAAATTCAAATAAAAAGGAAGCAGATCAAAACAATAATATGACATACCGTTGCAGTAGGTAATGGGAATAAGTAGACCATTGCCAACATCGCTTTCCCATCGTTCGCTGACTTCTAGCACATTGTCATGCCACACGTGATCTCCTTGGCTGAAGTTGTCAAACAACTTGGCATGGCAAATACGAACTTGAGCATACTTCTCGTAGCGCCTCACTTCGAAGAAGTAGAAGAACTCTCACACCGTCTACTCTAGCGTGAAGAAACGGCTCAAATTCTCAAAGCACATGATCGCCTAATAAACGTTCAGATTACACAAACTCAGAGCACACTCCATGGCGTAGAACACCTCCTTAAAAAGCTTTGACAGCCGGAATGTGAAGCTCAAGGAAAAATAGAAGGGACAGAAGGTGATGATCCTAGCATTTGGATCATTCGCATCCACACAAGGCACATCGTCAGTCAAAGGCTTCATCAGCTTAACATCCACGTCATTGGGAATGGTAGAGGCATAAGTGGCCTGCCACTTCTGAAACTGAGCTTCAGACGTCACACGGTGCAGATTAGCCAGAAACTTCCTCTTGTGCACTTTGGAACCTCCCCACAGATACAAAGGCACTTGAGAGCTTGGTGATTTGCTACAATTTTCAGACGACATGATGACTAGACAACTACAAGATGAAAAGAAAATTCTGCAAGTTAGAATACAAAAAAAAAAAAAAAAGAAAAAAAAGAAAAAAAAAGGGAAAGCTGGCAGCAAAAAAAAAAAAAAAAGGCCCAAGCCACAGGCCAAGTCACATGAACTAGCCCAGGTAGCCAGCTCGCTAGACTCATGCAGCGCGCCAAGCCTAGCTCCATTCTAGCGCACCTTCGGCTCATGCAGTGCACAAGGCCCACCTTGCTAGCCTGGCTCGCTTGCTCCAGCTCCAATGTGCGGCCCATGTTGCACCACTCCAGCACGCAGCTCCAGCGACACGCAGGCCCTCCAAGATGCGGCCTTGGTCCCCATCATAGTAGCCAGCAAGGTTGCGACACAACCAGCTGGTCCTTCCGGCAACCACCAGCGGCCATTACCGCTCCCGCCATCTCCGGCTACCAGTCATGACAACAATTAGCTGGGTCCCACCCAACTGGTACTCGCCGCGAAAAAGAAAAGATGAAGAATAAAAAAAATATACGCGCTCGACTTTCCTTGAGATGCACAACAACTCCTTTCTTTGACAAGCAGTACAAATTTTCCAAGATCTCTCTCAAGCTAAGAAAGTAGATGTCTGCCGTGCAAATCTCACGCCCTGGAGTTCCGGGCCGAGGGGATGTGCGTTGACACACGGTTTCCTGCTTTTGGGTGCGGTGCGGTTGTGCGCGGGCGTGCCAGCACGGTTTACCGTGCGTCGAGATGTTTGATGAGTGTTGGATGGATAAATAGTGCGCCTGTTTGAACTCGTCTTCTTAATCAAACGATTGTAGCCGAGAGAGGAAATGGTCTCGGCTGCAAGGTTCACGGCCTAAACTACAAGGCCGTTGAGTGATGGTGTTGGTGGTGGGTTTTGGGCAGTGCTCCGGCGCGCTGCTCAGGGAGCGGCGGTCGCGTGATATATGGGGTGAGTGAACGAACAACAAGGATGGTGCTCCGGCACCTTGAAAATCAAGGGTCGTATGATATATTGATGAATGGATTTTCCTTACAACCTAACATTACTCCTAGGAAAGCAAGTAAAGATATTGAAAGTGTATTACAGGAAAAAATAAGTTGCTCCGTGGGAGGCTTTGTTTTGGTGTTGAACCCTTTGAATGTAGCTCGAGCCTTGTATTTATAGGGAGAGTCCCTGGAGGGGTAATCGAGGCTGAAAAACTGCGTGGTGGAGCTTGATTAGAGCAAGTGGGTAGTCCAATCGACATTTGGGATCGTGAAGTATGGTGGGGTGACCCCCGAAATCCTGGTGAATCTCGGCCGCCGCTCTCGATCGTGGGTTCTGAACTTCTGGCCGTGGAGACGCATTTATGGCCTGGATAGCTGGTGAACCAATATCTCAAGCTGTCAGAATTCTTTGTGAGAATGTCCACGTCTAATCACTCTGATCCTCATCACCAAATCCTGACTTCAGTCACTTCCCACCTTCCCTCGTGCATTAAATGCTTCTTTGTGGCCAGTGGGTTTGCTGCATTTAAGCAGGCACTACTTCATTAAATGAAGCCTGGGACCCCGTTGTCACGTGATGATTTGCTTTTAATGCCTCTGGCCGTGAAATTGCCCAGCCTCGGCCTCGGCCTACACTTAAGGCCGAGATGATCATGCCTTAGCATTTCTTCTTTTGTCTTTAAAAAGGCGAAGTACCCTGGCGAAACGCCGCGTTTTAGTTTTACAAACAAATGCCAGGGCCGAGAGAAGGGGTTCCTTCGGCCAGCTTATGGCCGTGATTTATCAAGCACGAACAGTAGAGAAGTTAAGTTTGCGATGTAAAGAAGATTGAAGAGAAGCTCTGTATTTATACAAGTTGGGCATCCTAGGTCAAGAAGGAATCGCTAGCCCATTCCTACTAGGAACCCAACTCCAAGAAAAGTCAAAAACCCATTCCAATTGGGAACCTAATATGCAAAAGAAGTCCAACTCACTGAAGAAAGCCCAGACACAATTGGAGAGCCTGAAAAATAATTTCATCTCTTACATGCCACACAAGTGCCATGCTGGGCATTTGTGGGAGCAAATATTTTCGTCTCCAATTACAGGATGCCACATGGAAAAGAAGAATATCCCTTAGATTAATTAATTGAGCCCATTTATTTGGTCAATTAATTAATACTAAAAATTGAGATAATATCTTAATTATGTGATATTAGCTTTATTTAATAAGATAATACCGCTAATTTAGATATTATCATAATAAGGAGATATTATCATCATCAAATTAGGAGATTTGATCCCAATCAAATCCCTAATGGACTCAATCTCTACAATTTGGGGAAAGAATAAACTTCTTCCTAATAAGAGTTTTATTCTCTATGAAACCTTAGCCTTCAAGGCTCCTCTAAATAGATGACTTCATTCAACACTCAATGTAACTCTAAACCTAGCTTTGAAACCCTGTAAAAATACCCAAGATCTCTCTCCCCTCTCTCTCATAGCCCACAGCAACTCAATTGTCGCTGGCCATATTGCTCTACTCACTCCATATTTTCTCCACATGGCTCCAGCCACCCAGTTTTCACCTTAGAGAAATCTCCGTACTTTTTTTAACTATTGTTTCACATAGATTCAATCGAACTAATTTAGGCATCGGAGGGCCTTTGGCCAACACCCATTGAGTGTGATCTATTTACTCCAGTCTTTTTTTATAGGAATTGAGGAAGAGAGATAAGGAAGTTCAAAGGGTGAAGGATCTATAAGCGAATAATCTCCCGATAGATTATTTGCACAAATAAATGGCAAGGATTAAATTGGCAATTTTAATTAGTGCGAGACTAAATTCGCTAAGTTTTTAATTCAGGGGTTTAATTTCTACAAAGTTATCATTTAGAGAGTAAAACAGATGAAAATCCAAAAAACTATGAAGTGTGTTTTCGCACAGAGTGTCAAATTACCATGATGATTCGAATGTGAGACCAATGGTGGGCTCAAGGCCCTTTTTTGACACGAGACGAAAGTGTAACTTAAGCGGTTGAGGAATTGTCACAGCAGGTGGGTAAGGAGTATAGTTTGGGAATTTTCCCCCAACTAAAAAACCGAAAAGAAAAACCCGAAAAAAACTATTTCACTATCTAATCGCAGAAGACGCCCAAGAAGTAATAACACAGGACACAAAGAAGCTCCATCATCGCCCATCCACTCTTCTTCTTTTTCTCTTTCTCCGTTTAATTCTTCAGCTCCTCCATTGGCACCCGTTGAAGCACCTATCGTCACCTCTGGTCACGCTGATGAGTAAGTATGGAGCTGATTTGCTCTCTCGCGTTTTCCATTTTTGTATAGTTCCTCAATTTGCTCGAGCACAGGCTTAACCTCGTTATGGTATTTCTGTTTTAGGGTTAAGATTAATGGGTTATTTACCGATCAATTTCACTGGCTCCTAAATTCACGTTAGGGTTTTTCTTGTGTATTTCTTCCTTACAATTTTCGGATTCAGGGTTTCCGTAAATTAATGTTAGAATTTGCTTGACAATTTTTTTTCTTCATTTTATGTTTATGTTTTATGTTTTATGTTTTGTTATTTGTTTTTGCCCCGAACGTAAGCCATCAATGGTGAAGATTCAACCGAATTTTTTTTTTTTGACAATAAAAGAGTTTAAGAGCTATGTCAGTGATATGAAAGTAGATAGGGTCTTCTTACTAAGTGTATAATACATCTATAATCTTGTTACACAGCACACATTTGTGGGTTCTTAAAACATGTAAGTTCTTATTTATGTAATTTTTGTATAATGCTCATGTTTTGGTTTCATGCTTGGATTTAAAACTGCCTGAATACGAAAAAATTGGTAGTAGATCTACCTGCTATATGCATTTGACTTTGGTATGCCCACTATAGATATTTGGTTTCTCTGCAGTACGAGCCCACGCCCCTTTAATATGGTGACGAGAAGTGCAGCCGCCCTAAGCTTGTAATTTCTGTAGCTCCCAAAAAGCTCATCTGGCCCCAAGGTAGTACCTCTCCTGTAAAAGTTGTCAGAATCATTAATGGGAAGACTACAACTATGAGACACCAAACACACTTTTAGACACTCACGCTTGATGCTAGAAATTGACTTAGTAAATAAAGATTGATAACTTAACTACAGAGTTATATCTATCAAAATTGTCTGGATGAATACGGTGGTGTACGGTAATACAATTTTGTGCTAGTTATTGGAGAAAAAGACAGTGTTTATACTTTTAGGTTTTCACTTTTTCTGTTTCAATGATAAGTGAACATATTTTGGGATTTTTTGACGTAATGTAACAAAAACTATTTAAGTTTAGTGTTCAGCATGAGATTGATAAATAAATTTAGCATCTGTTGTTTTATTCCATGATGATGTACTTCATCTCACATTTGGGCATTGAACATTTGTGGCCTCAGACATTATAGGCCACTGTTGCGAACAGGGTCCACTCGATGATTTTCTTGTAGTGATTGTGGGATGGTTCGATGAAATTAACATTGTTGATATAGAGTAATGGGTAGCAGCGAGATGGATAAACCTGCTAAAGAGAAAGAGAAGGAGTTGAAGACAACACCTGCTAGTACGCAGGTCCATTTGTGTGTCTTTTCGTAGTATCTGTTATGATAAAATTGAGGTCCTCCCATACTGGAAGTTAGTAATGAGCTTTAATCTTACTTTTTTGGGGAATTTTCAGGAGCAGTCTGCGACTACTAGTGCTGGCACTGTTAATCCTGACTGGTCGGGATTTCAGGTTTTATATTGAAAATCATCAATTTTTAGAATTTTTGTTGTTTTAGATATGTTTGAAATTTATTGTGGGGTAATTATTTTCTTAACAGGCATATTCTCCTATACCTCCACATGGTTTTTTGGCATCAAGTCCTCAAGCTCACCCATATATGTGGGGTGTTCAGGTATATGCGTGTGCATTAGAATTATTTGTTTAATCTTAATAAATCATCGAAAGAAAATAAAAATTCTTGATTATTCAATTTTTTGATTGTATTTTGTGAAACTTTGACTTTAATGCTATTTTTGACATGGTGGCTTTTGGCCATCTAAGAGTTGGGAGTTGATGTAGGATATGGGTGAATTAAGTATTTAGGTAGTTTAGCGGAAGCGAAAACAATGGAAAACAGAAAATAGAATGAACAAGGTTAGGTCTGGAATCACTCCAGGGGTTTGGCTTCACACCATGGAGTCTCCAATGTTTGGAGAATAAACTTTTCTTAATATCTCAACAACTCAACTCCCTAATGAATTACATGAGAGGGGTATTTATAGAAAACTAAAACCTAGAGACAATAGGATAAAAGATCCCTTGCTAAAACATAAATTCTAACCTAAATAGGAAACTTAGAAATTCAACGGAAATCTGGAAAACTTAAAAATCTTACTAAAATCTGGAAAACTTAGAGAACAAGTTAGAAACTAATCGCGGGAATACAAAATTACCAGATTTAAAGACCAAATTAAATGACTTCCTCTTCCATCTCTTTCATTTGTAAGCCCTAATGGGTTTGACAAAGATGTCCTCATCAGGAGTGGTAAGCAGTACAATGGGAACTTAAAGATATATGTTTGTACTCTTACAAATCATTTGAAATGTGTTAACAAACTGAGAAAAAGTGTTCGTTCATGAGAAAGATCTTGGCTTTAAGCTCCTGTGTAAGTTTCTGAGGCGCTGAGCATGTTCACAAGAAAGAGATCTAGACGTAGTACCATTTTGACTTTGTAACAGTTTGGCTTTTTAACTGTGGACTCTTGTACAATTGGACTTAAATCGAGTATTCTTTTTCTGGTTGATGGAGACTGATACACTTGTCTTTTTGTCTCCTGTTTCCTGTCAGCCTATATTTTGATTTTGTCTCCGAGGTTACCTAAGGAAGTGGGTATTTTTTCAAAAATATTATACTGTTGATATGTACCATAATTTTCTTGAAATCCACAAATCCACAAACTGGTTAATAACTGGTTCATTTCTAATAAGCTTTTAAATTTCAGCATATTATGCCTCCATATGGTACCCCTCCACATCCGTATGTTGCCATGTATCCCCATAGTGGCTTATATGCTCATCCATCCATGCCTCCGGTAATTTCTTGTCTATCTTGCTTCAGCTGAATTACCAAGCTGCTTTCTAGCTTCATTCTCTGGATGGCACTAATAATTTATGCCATGCACTATATTTAAACAGGGATCTTATCCTTTTAGCCCTTTTGCTATGCCTTCTCCAAATGGTATTGTAGAAGCTTCTGTAAGTGTCTATAATCAAATTCTTTGTTGCTTGAAATAATTTCTTTATTCATTTGAGTACATGAGACATAATTTGTAAAATTGCACTTAGGGTAACACACCTGGAAGCATGGAAGCAGATGGTAAGCCCTCTGAGGTGAAGGAAAAATTACCCATAAAAAGATCAAAAGGAAGCTTGGGCAGTTTAAATATGATTACAGGGAAGAATAATGAGCCTGGGAAGACATCAGGAGCCTCTGCTAATGGAGTTCACTCTAAAAGGTATACTGATCATGTTTAATACCTATTGGCCTTTGCATCACGGATTCCAGTATCCTCTTGCTGAAATCTTTGGATTTAAAGACACTCCAGATTGGAAGAAAAGAAAAACGGGGGGAGGGGTCAGGTAGGATGTGGGATAGTGTAGGTAGAGCTTTGTCGCAGAAATACAGCAAGCCATTTATTTGAGAAGCTGCGTGTGTAATTTTGTCTGTCCCGATTTAACTGTTTGTTGATCTCTTAGCTAATTAAAACATCTATGAAAGTGATCGCGAAGCTCAGCAACTTGGTAATCATGAATTGTGGGATAGATAATTTCTTGTTGCATAGATGTTTATGTAGCTAGCTCACAATTCTAATTCTGATTGGATCCTTATTATTAACTCATATATAGGCCCAACAGTTTCGGATCCTTATGGAGTCTTTTCTTACATGGACCTCTCATTATTAAATCATGTTGTTACATATTAATTTTGGTAATGGTTGAAATGTATTTTGATATGCAGTGCTGAGAGTGCCAGTGAAGGTACAAGTGAAGGAAGTGATGCAAATTCTCAGAGTGTAAGTTCCATACTATTGAAGTTTCTTATTTGTAGATCCGTTTGTATTACTTTGGTTTCTTTGATTCGGGGCAGATAAAGTGGCCCCTAGGCTGTTATATCAAGCCTACTGTAGGAAGCAAGTTACTTGTTGATGTTGCGTTGACTGTAATAGAAGTTTGGTGTAATAGAGAAACTCTCCATAATTCTTAATATCAAAGAAAAAACTAAATGAAAAGGAAAAGGAAGAGTGAACTTATTTAAATAAATTTGTCATAATGAACTTAGATCTTTGTTCCCTGAGTGCTTGTGGTGCATTCACACTGTTACAAATATGATAATTCTTCTGGGTCGTTAAGTTTGATAAAAAACTAGTAAAAGTGCAGAATTCCTTTTTCTGAGTGAAATTTCCTCTTAGCATTAGACATCTTTTCTTCATTGGGTGCAATTAGGACGTGGGTTGCTTGACAGCAAGGCAAGATTGCTAATTTTAGATTTTGTTTGGTGTCCTGAGGCTTATAGGAATAGTAACTTATATATGTAAACTTATTAAGAGGGATCCCTTTTGGTAAAAATTGAAAGGGATCGCATGTGGGCCCAACCCTCATTGGGATATGAAGATCACAACCGTCCATTTATTATGCCTCCATGCAAGCATTATCCTTACAAAAAATCAACCAAATCAGAAATGATTTAGCCATCTTTTGCTGACCAAATAAATAAACACACACAATGGTCCATATAAAATTGAAATGTTCATAATGGCAATCAAATTATCAAACGATTTCAGATTTTGCTGACCTTTTGCATTGTTCAATAAGTATCTAATACTTTTAGATAGTTCAGATCATTGAACATATTGCGACATGGCTTGACACAGTGATCCCTTTGGCATATCCCCAAAAGGGATCCCTCTTATAAAGGGAAACCGTGTGTGTGTGTATACACAAATATATTTTTATTTCTCTCTCTTGGCCTCTTTATGTTTACCAAGATGCGGATCATACTTGCACAAGTAAAAGAGTGGTGCTTAAAGCTATGAAAGTTTTCTAGGTCATCTAATGGTTGATTGTAAGAATGCATAGTGGGTTGCTAGATGCATGTGGTAATCACTTTTCAACAATAAGAAGCAACAAATTGAAGAATTTCTTTTTAAGTTGAAGCATCAGTTGATCTAGAGTTTTAGAGAGTACCTCAAGGCCTGATAAAAACCTTGTGAATGGAAGTCCATTTCATGTTTCACTATCCAACGTAAGAAATAAATCTCGCGAATATTTCCACCTGACAAATGGTTATGTCCATACCTCCAGAGCTAGTTGACTATTGACTGCTCTGAGGGTCTCACATAGCGGTTTGGGACTTGACACTTGTGGTTCAATGGCTCAGAGCTGTAGGAGGAGAATCTTGTGGTTTGTAAATAAGTTAGTGATGTAGGATATGGGTGAATTGAGTGTTTAGGTAATTTAGCGGAAGCGAAAACAATGAAAAAAACAGAAAATAGATGATAAGGATATAAGGATGTCTTGGCTCTGCACCAAGGGGTTTGGCTTCACACCAAGATTTGTCCAATCTCTGGAAAGTAAATTTTTCTCAATATCTCAACAACTCAACTCCGTAATGAATTACATAGAAGGGGTATTTATAGCAAACTAAAACCTAGAGACGATAGGATAAAAATACCTTGCTAAAACAGAAATCCTAACCTAAATAAAATAGGAAACTTAGAAATCTGGAAAACTTAAAAATCTTACTGAAGTCTGGAGAACTTAGAGAACAAGTTAGAAACTAATTGCAGGGATAAAAAATTTCCAGATTTAAAGACCAAATTAAATGACTTCCTCTTCCATCCCTTTCTCTTGTAAACCCTAATGGGTTTGACAAAGATGTCCTCATCAGTTAGTGCCCGGAAACGATAAGTGGCAAATGGTGGCCAGTTTTCATGAGGGCAGGTTTTGGAGGGATAACTGTGGGGATCAAGGATGTGAAACATTTAAGTATGGTTCAAGTTAAAGAAGAAATGGATGAAGGATTTAATGGTGCAAAGAAGCTAGAAGAGTTTATAGGGACTGTTTAGTGGGTGTGAAAAGTACCTGCGTGAACAGTGCATAGTTGCACAGCACGCACACAAACAGGTTTTAAATCTGTATGGCATACTGCAGGTTTTAAAAAGTTGTAAGAGACTTGAAGTTGCGTTTATTTTTTTTTAATTTTTTAATTTTTTGGTTACATTGGGAGGAAAGAAACCCCTTGGGTTTCGAACCTGGGTGTCAGCCTTTGATTTGCACTAGATTAATGCACATCTTCTGTTACCTATGGGAAATATCTTTTTCGAATGGCTCTTGATTTTCTTTTCCTTTTAATTATATTCCTTTTTTATGTGTTTTGCTTCAACATTCTCATTTCCATTACTTTTGTAGGACTCACAACTCAAGTCAGGGGGCAGGCAAGATTCTTTGGAAGGTTTGATTATATTATTTTTTGTGGCTGTCAATCTGTGTTAAGAGATTTTTACTAAGGATTTTTATGTCTTATTGCAGGTGATGCATCTCAGAATGGCAGCTCCGCACATGGTTCTCAGAATGGAGCGCCAAATACTCATACTATGTTGAATCAAACAATGGCCATCATGCCAATAACGGCTGCTGGTGCTTCTAGTGCTGTTCCTGGTCCTGCAACCAACTTAAATATTGGGATGGACTATTGGGGTGCTCCACCTTCTTCTGGTGTGCCTGCAATGCGTGGGAAGGTTCCCACTACTCCAGTAACAGGAGGATTAGTTACTGCTGGGTCTCGGGATAGTGTTCAGTCACAGCTTTGGTTACAAGTTAATCTCTGTCCCTGTATTTCAAGTGCATTTTTTTTTTCTTCTTATCATGGTTTTTTCAGGCTCTGAGTTGAGACTATTTTAATTTAGGTTACTTTATAGATCTGATTAAAAAGGGGGAGAAGAATCTTCACTTTGAGTATCTTGTTGGAGTTGTGAGGGTACAGTTATGTTAATTGGTTTTAAAATTGGTTTAGAGCACCAAGTGTAGGTTACATTTTAAGTTGCATTCCTTGTGAAAATTGATATTTGCACATGGATTCTTATGGGTTTAGGCTATGAATAGGATTTTGGACACGTTATACCCTGTGTTTGGAGTATAGTGTGACTTGTGTAGATGGAGGTTGTTATGTGCAAATATGGTCTAGTTGAGTCAATGGAGCTCATGATTTGTGGGTTTTAACAATTATTTTGTTGCATATGAAGAAAGCAGTAACTGCCCGGGTATCCACTTGAATAATTTTTCCTCAGTTATTCTGATTTTCATGCATGTTTGGAATCACATTCTAGCTTTTTTTCTGAGCTTTTAGCCTTGTACTGCTTTTAACATGAAACATATTAAGATTGGCAGTCAACTAGTTCTGATTGCCAGTCCCCATGGTAACTTGGCAAGTACCTGCTTTATGATTGCTATTACCTCTAATTTATTTTAATTATGCCTTTTTATTTACTTTTCTTGCTTTGTGGCTATAGAATACAGATAAACAGGAGTTTTTTGCTTCTCAATGCACAGAGATGTGCTCTATCACCTTTTTAAGCACCTCTTTGTTTGTCTTTATCAGATTTTTAAGCACCCTCACCTCTTCTTCTTCTGACTCAGGATGAGAGAGAGCTTAAAAGACAGCGAAGAAAGCAGTCAAATAGGGAATCGGCTCGTCGATCTAGGTTGCGCAAGCAGGTAATGATGTAACTTTTTGCATCTGTTAATTATTTCAGGCTACTTGGCAATGTATGTGCAATATGGCCTCAACGGATGTACTTTTGAGTTAGGCGGAATGTGATGAGCTGGCCCAGCGTGCTGAAGCATTGAAAGAAGAGAATGCCACTCTTAGATCAGAAGTTAGCCGGATCAGGAGCGAGTATGAGCAGCTGCTCTCCGAGAATGCATCTCTGAAGGTAACATCCACTCTTGGTTTGTTTTCGAACTTGTTTAGAGGATGTTGGTCGACTTTTCAGTCACTTAGTACCACATTTTTTGTTTTTGTTTTTGTTCTTTTAAGGGAGTTAATTATGCTGATCCAACTCTATCCTGCTTTAAGCACAAAGGATTTGTTGAATCGTCACTATAATTTTTTGTTAATTCACTCTGTAAACAGAACTGATCTGAATCGGTCTACATCTCTGTTCCAAACCGTGATTTGGCAAACTCCAAAAGTTCTTCAGACATTACTAGAAATTGTTCTAGCAAACCTTGATTTAGGATTGTTTTGATCCAAAACATAATGCACTTACGTTGGTGTTCTTTAGATTTCCTTTTTTGTTCCTTTTTACATTTATTTCAAAGGAGGGGGCGTGCATCAAGTGACAATTCAATTCTACACAAATTTTACAAATGTGAAGATAGAACACTTTGATAATGAAAGAGTTTTGCTAAAATGCAACATTCTAACTCCTTATAGTGTAATCTGCATAATCTATTGCATAAGCCTAACTGCACAGTTCCTTGGTTTGGGGTAAGTGATGTACTATCAGTCCGATCCAGATCCCATGCTTTTATTTCCCATAAAAATTTTGTGCATCCAGAGTCCAGATAAATTAGTTTAGCTAATAATCAAACAGAAGGTATACCACAGGGCTTAATTAAGGGAAATGCAATTTTAATTTGCAATGTCCGAAGTTAAACTGGAGATGCTATTTTGTTTCTACAGGAGAAGCTTGGAGAAATTCCTGGGCACGAAGATCCAAGGTCTGCCAGAAGCGACCAAAAATTGAGCAATGACACTAAACAGATTGCACAAACAGAAGTGCATGGGGGCCAGTAGGATGAGTAACCCAGCTTTATGGTGCTTTCCAGGGGCACCATCTAACCAATTAGCAGCAACAGGGAGTTTCTTTTGCATAGCAGCATGTAGTTTGGCTTTTGTCCAACTTTTAACTTTTTATATTTTAGGTTATGTTTATTTGCATATCATCCTTTATTTCTCACTGGGCCTACCTTTAAGAGTGGAAGCCCTAAGATATGTGGTGTGAAAGTCATGTCCTACCCTTGTCTGTTTCATAAGGGTGGTAGTATTCACACTAAAATTCATATGTATTAAATATGGTTGGTGAATGTGTAGCTTGGGAGATTGATTAACTAAAGTATGCTACTCTAACAGAAATCTTGATTTATAAACTCGTTCTATGTTGGTTAGCATTACAGGCGTGTCAAAGCCATTTGGGAGGGAGCCGAGAACAAATGTTCTTAGGTATTTCACCAATTGTGTTTTGTCATCCCTGGCTGCGTTTTGTGCTTTTTGGTGTTTTGTTTTAATTGTTTATGTATTTTCTAGTTTGGTCACTTTTATACATATGGTTTCAATTTAAAGCAATTCAATGACAATTCTCAATTTAGACACAATTCTCAAAATTTCAGAAAAAAATGACAATTCTCAATTTCTATCAAATATTTTAAGCTTCCTTTACGTGAGAATAGGCAATTTGGTCCGTAAATTATAAAAAAGTCATTCCTTTTAAAAATAAACAATACAAATATAATTTTTTTAAAATTTAATTTGAAATAAAAATAAACCTCTGTCCCTTTCTCCTTCCTTTTTCTCTAGTAAGATTGTGCATTAAAAATTCCTTTTTACTTCTTATTATGGGGATTTAGTTATGGAATATCCTCAGGGCTTCTACAAATGGTGAGTGTTGTTTAGCAACATGTTATGGGTACCTACACAAATGTAAATTAAGGTGGAAAACTCAATGGTATTGGTCATATCTCTTCAGCCTTCTTCGGCACGAAGATATCAGGTTTGCAAGAAGTGAGCAAAAATTGAGCAATGACACCAAATAGATTGCAGAGACAGAAGTGCATGGGGTCTAGCAGAATGTGTAACCCAACTTTATGGTGCTTTCCAGGGGCACAATCTAACTAATTAGCAGCAACAAGGAGTTTCTTTTGCATAGTAGCATGTAGTTTGACTTTTGTCCAACTTTAACTTTTTATATCTTAGGATGTTTATTTGCATATCATCTTTTATTTCTCACTGGGCCTACTTTTAAGAGTGAAAACCCTGAGATATTTGGAGTGTGAAACTCATGTCCTACCCTTGTCTGTTTCCTAAGGGTAGTAGTATTCACACTTAAATTCCTATGTATTATATGGTTGGTGAATCTGCAGCTTGGAAGATTGACTGACTAAAGTATGCTACTCTAACAAAAATCTTGATTTATGACGTCTTTCTATGTTGGTTAGCGTTACAGGCATGTTGAAGCCAATTGGGAGGGAGCCGAGAACAAAACAGTTCTTAGGTATTTCTCCAATTGTGTTTTTTCAACCCTAGCTGCTTTATTCTTTTTTTGTGTTTTATTTTTTAATTTTTTATATATATTTTCTAGTTTGGTCACTTTTGTCCATGTGGTTTTATTTAAAGCAATTCAAGGACAATTCTCAATTTAGAATCAATTCCCAAAATTTCATAAAAAAGGAAAATTCTCAGTTTCTGTCAATTTTTTAAAGCTTTCCTTATGTGAGAATGGGCAACTTGGTCCGTAAATTAAAAATAATAATAATTCCTTTTAAAAATAAACAATACAAATATAAACTTTTAAAAATTTAGTTTAAAATAAAAATAAACCTATATCCCTTTTTCCTTCCTTTCTCTCTCTTAATTGATTATGAATTAAAAATCCCTTTTTAATTCTCTTTATTATGGGGACTCAATTATGTTATATCCTTAGGGCTTCCACAAACGATGAGTGACGTATAGTAACATGTCACAGTTACCTACGCAAATGTAAATTAAGGTAAAGAACCTACTCAGTTGGAATTGCAATGAAATACGGTCCTTCTCTAACTCAGTTGGAACCTATTCACTTCCGAATCTCTTCGCCCCTCTTGGGCACGAATACATCAGGTGTGCTAGAAGTGACCAAAAATCAAGCAATGACATAAATAGATTGTAGAGACAAAAGTGCAAAGGGTTCCAATAATATGAGTAACCCAGCTTTATGGTGCTTTCCAAGTTGCTTCATGTTGAACGAAGACATCAGGTATGCTGAACTATTACAAAATCCTGTTGTTCCATCTTTGAATCTATTTTCTGCATAAAAGCTAACATAGTCTCTTGTGGGAGCAAATATTTTCGTCTCCAATTATAGCACGCCATGTGGAAAAGAAGAATATCCCTTAAATTAATTAATTGAACTAATTTATTTGGCCAATTAATTAATAGGGATAATATCTTAATTATAGGATATTATCTTTATTTAATAAGATAATGCCATTAATTTAGATATTATCATAATAAGGAGATATAATCATCATCAAATTAGGAGATTTGGATCTCAATCAAATCCCTAATGGACTCAATATCTTCAATTTGGGGAAAGAATAAACTTCTTCCTAATAAGAGTTTTATTCTCTATGAAACCCTAGCCTCCGAGGCTCCTTCAAGGTACTTCTAAAACCCTAGAAAAATACCCGAAGCTCTCTCCCTCTCTCTCCCTAGCCGACGACAACACCCTTGTCGCCGACCTCTCCACTCTCCACTCTCCATATTTTCTCTACATGGCTCCAGCCACCCAGTTCTCACCCTAGAGAAATTTCTATACCCTTTTTAGCTATTGTCTCACCTAGATTCAATCGAATTAACTTAGGCATCAGAGGTCCTTTGGCCAACACCCCTCGAGTGTGGCTTATTTACTCCGGTCTTTTTTACAAGAATCAAGGAAGAGAGATAAGGAAGATCAAAGGTTGAAGAATCACAAAGAGAATATTCTCCCGCGAGGATTTTTGCACAAACATCTCTTCCAAAGAAGACTTCACAGGTGGGTTAGATTGACTAGGCATATTAGCATTAGCATTATTTTTCCATGAAAAATTAGGATGATCTCTCCAGCCTAGGTTATAAGTATTTGAAAAAGGATCGTTTCTAGGCCTCAGGTTGTAGGAATTCATCATATTCACTTGTTCTTGCACATATTTAGGAAATTCACTACTAGAAGGACATGAATCAAAATTATGACCAAAACCATTACAAATTGAACAAGCCTCAACCGGTTTAGGAGTGGTGTGCTTGGACATCATAGCATCCAGCTTCTTGTTGAAGGCGGCAATTTGCCTTGCCATGTCATCATTATGGCTCAATTTTGTTGGGGTCTTTTCCGTTGGAAGGCTCGTCCGGGCTTGTTGATTCTTGGACCGCCATAGAGTGGTGAATCAAGTCTTCGTTGCCCCTTTTTCTGAGTTAGCAAGGACTAGGCCCAAAGCATCCCGAGGGAGAAGCAAGTCCCAAGGGAGTACTCTGTTCTTCTTCCAGCGGTTGCGTGTTTGGTGCTGATATTTCCGGCATCTTGACGAAGAGTTGAAGATGACTTGCTGATGTTTCCAGCAGCTTGAAGAAGAGTTGAAGATGACTTGTTGATGTTTCCAGCAGCTTGACGAAGAGTTAAAGATGACTTGCTGATGTTGATATGAGATTATACGAGCTTGGCTTGAGAGCTTGGAGTGTGGGAGCTAAAGATCCACAAGTTTAGCAAATGAGAATGCATGTGCTTGGCTTGGTGTTGAATATGCTTGAGTTTGGTTGTTGATAATTTGTTGTTTGTGGCTATGGTGTTTATAGCTTGGAAGGAAGGGAAAGCTTGGAGTTATGCTTGGTGAGGCTTTAGGGATTTAAGAGTTTCAAGAGAAGGATAATGGGAGGAAAAGCTTGAGGTTTGAAGGCTGTGGTGTTTATAGCTTGGAAGGAAGGAAAAACTTGGAGTTATGCTTGGTGAGGCTTTATAGAGAAGATGATGGATTTCAAGGGTGAGAAAGTAGGAAACATGGTTATGATGTTTGAGGAATGGCTAGGATGGCCGCTGGAATGCTTACAGCAGCCGAAGGGAGGAAGAAAAGTGGTTTAATGGTCGCTGGGGTGCTTGAGCAACCAAGAGAGGGTTGGTTGATGGCTACTGGGAGGCTTGCAGCAGCCAAATGATGAAGGTTGATGGCTGGGATGGCCGTTGGAATGCTTGTAGCAGCTAAAAGGAGGAAGGAAGATGAGTTCTCATGGTTGCTGAGAAGCTTGCAGCAACCAAGAGAGGTTTTTTGCTTAGCAAATGCCTCCCAATTTATAGAGGGTGAGGGTTTTCCTTTATTTCCAATAGGTAAAGGGAGGTGCTGGAACCAGCCTATTTCCAATGATTAAAAGGGAGCACCGGGGCATGCTATTTTCCAGCAGGTGAAGCTAGGTACCATAAACTGATTATTTCCTATGGGTAAAAGGAAGCGCTGGAAATGGCTTATTTCCAGCGGGTAATAGGGAGTGCTGGAAAAAGCTTGTTTCCGATGGGGTAAACCTAGGCATTTCAAAAATGACTATTTCCTATGGGTAAAAGGAAGTGCTTGAAAAATATCTCATTTGCTCACCCACATTGGAGAACTCTAAGTAATGGGCTTGGACTTTGGTCCTCCCAAGTAGCTAGCCCAAAGTCTCCATTATCCAAGAGCTTCCGTGGGCCTTGTGGACCTCTGTCACCTTCCATACCACAATCCCTCATGCAAGCCCCGTAAACCACATGACTTGGGTTCATGTGAGCTTGATAGGTGATTGAAATATGAAAAATGTATTATTGGCTTAGCATGGCATGAACACTATTATTTATGTAATGAATAAATTTCCAAAATACAGCTTGGATTAATGTATGACCAACATTATATGTTATATTGGGCTTTAAATGTCTTTGGGCTTCTCGTGACTTTTTTGGGCCTCAACAAATTCATAGATGCCTTTCGCCCTCCTCCTAGTATCTCTCTACTGCGAATTTGATCCCAAAATCTCATAAATGTCATAGGCCTCTTGCAGTGTCTTTCTAAACATAGCTCCACCTGTAGCATTATTTGCCATAGTTTGACAAGAAAGATTTAGTCCATCATAAAAATATTGCATTTGATTTTCTAAAGAATAATTATGATGAGGGCACTGTATTAACAACATCTTAAATCTATCACATGCTTCATGGAATGGCTCTCTATTGGCTTGCTCAAGTTGGTTGTCATGGCATGAGAGTAAAATTTTCCAACAAATTTGTTGTAAATTGATGTCCAGTCAGTGAGTTATCCAGGAGGCAAAGACATTAGCCACCTTTTCGCCTTATTCTTAAGGG